CAGGAAATGCCTCCGGGGAGTGGGCGTGGGCCAGTGTGGCTGGGGCGCCATGGAAGTGTATCACATGCAGAGTGATTGGAACAAGGGGACGGTTTCATAAATAACAATAAGCAAATATAAGGTCTTTTTCAAAGGTATCACTACAACAACCGTGGGACAACATGGAGAAGTCCCCCGGATGCGCTATTCCGTGTCAAACCACAGGGGACGAAAGAATGGACAACTGTGGATACAAAAAGAGCTGTGTTTGGGGACAGAACCCTGGGAGATTTTAATATTTTTAAATGTTCTTTTACTGTGGTTATGTTATCTTTAAAAGCGAGAAGGGAGTGGTGTCAGGATGTCAGATGAAGCTGTTTATTCATTAAAACTAGAAAACCCAACGTGAGGACAAGAAACAAAACTCTCTGAACAGAGTGACCTGCGCACAAGGAGCAGGAAGAAGACGCAGACTGGCATGCGCACGGGCACCCGAGGGTGAGCAGAGCCCTGGAAACCGCCCTGTCCTCTGCTGCGGAAAGTGGGTGGGGAAGGGGCGCTGCTCCCCAACGCCCCGCCCCTCACCCTGCCTCCCTCTGTAAATGTTTCCCAAACCCTCCAGGCCTGCGAAGTGTCCAGATGCTGGCGGGGCCCCCGTGTGTATGTCTAAGGTTGAACTGGATCCTCTGATTCAGCTCCGTCTGGGAGTTCCTGGAATGGAGCTTAGCTTCCCAGAACCCCATCCTTCCCCCACAGACAGCGTTGGCTGTTTCTCAGGGGAAAACAGAAAGGGGCTCCTAGGGAGCTCTGTGCTCAGGGCCACACCCCTTCTCCCTGGTACTGAGGCTGGGGTGGTACCTGAGCCAGCCCGCGCCCCCGCAACCCCCAGTATTTGCTCTGGCCTGAAGTTTACCTCTGTGGCCATCTATAAACAGCATCCTTACTCAGTAATCACGTAAGTCAGATTTTAGAGGAAAACATCCACTCTGGGGAGGAGTCCTGAGCTGTGAAGCAGACCGCGGTTCTTTCTAGCTGTGGCCTTGACTCTGGCTTGCCGGGTGGTCTGAGGGATTTTACTTGTTTATGGAGCGAATGTTTCTTAAGAGGCTGGGATGCACAGAACGCAGTGGGGGGCACACACAGCGGAGAGCGGGGAGGTGAGCGAAGCAGGGCGCTCCCCTCCACGGACACGTGGAGACGCCTCACACACTCACACACTCACACACTCACACGCAGCTGTCGCTGCGAGAGGAGACGCAAAATGCACAGGGAGCACACGCACCCTGGGACTGAGGATAGAACTGGGGGGTCTCAAGGGTTCCCCTGAACTGAGAGGTAGGTGTCCTTGGCTCCATATCCGGCTTCGGGATCGGCATCTGAAACCTCAGCGGGGTGTGAGCAGGAGGGCGGGCCGTGCGGAAGGGACCCTCCCCAGTCCCCGGGGGCGGCTGAGGCTGCGTCTCAGGTGCGGCAGGAAGGGAAACAGTTCCAGACGCATTCGCCGCACGCTTCGTGCACTGGACACGTGCTGGCTCGTCTGCCCCTCACCGCGGCCCTAGGAGTTGGGGCCATTTTTATAGTAACCCCCAAATAAGAGCCTGATGGAGGGACCTCACGTCCCTGTCTGGCCCCGGATCCCGTCAGCCTCCCCGCCAGGCCGTGCCATTTGTGACACGAGTCATTCCACAGGCGCAGTTTCTGCCATCTCTTGTGTCACCTCTACCACTGTTTCTTTAACAGTGACTTACCTTTTGAACTGTAACGTCACGTCGTCAGCATAAATAGAAAACGGGTATCATTTGTTATTAAAAAACATCTGTAAAAAATAAATACACTGGACTATTTAGTGTTGATTATCAACAACGTGACTAGAGCCTACCTAGATTGGGGGGCCAGCTCAGGCACTGGAAGTGGCCTACAAACACCAGAGAGGGGCTGAAGGCACACCGGCCACCCAAGGCTTCCTCCCCGGTGGCCTGGAAGGAGGAGTGGCTATGACTCGGGGTTTGGGGTTCGGGTCACCCAGTCCACAGCCCTCGCTTTGAGAAACACCCCCAGGCTCTAACAGGCAGCCACGCAGGGCCGACTGCGCGTGGCCACAAGGTCAGGGGCTCCATCCCAGGCAAAACCTGGCCCTCGAAAGGGACACTGTGCATTCTGCGGTGGGCACAGCCTCCAAGTCCCCGGGACCTGGGTTCTTGGGAAACCAGACGAAGGGCTCCCCCTTGCACCAAAGTGGCATTTGCCCCTGACGGCATTGAGATCCAGTGTTTACGTGACTCAACGGAAGCGAACGTTCAGAATTCCGAGGGAGATGGACCGCGAGTGAGGCAGAGCGTGTTGGAGGCGAACGTTTCTGAGGCAGCTCTCGGGCAGAATCCCGAGGGAGATGGACCGCGAGTGAGGCAGAGCGTGTCAGTCAGACTGTGTCCGGCGTTCCTTCTAAAGCATCGGCTTGAGCAATGACGGCAAGGACTGGCTCAGAGTCCTCTCCTCCCCCACGCCCACCCCAGCCACGAGGATCGGTCTGGGGGACCCCAGGTCCACCCGCCTGGCCCTGGCCCGTGGATGAGGAAAGCGAGGCCCAGGGGGACGAGGGGCCCTGCTCAAGGTCGCACGCAGGGTGCCGCCCTTCTGACGCTGCCCCCCGCCACCCCGCCCCGTCCCCACACCCTCCGCTCTGCCGAGGTGCCCACCACGCTACTCTCCTGCCCCTCACCCCTTTCAGTGGCTCTCGGACAGCTGGTTTTATAATCTCAGGGTGTATTAGTCAGGGTCCCAGAAGGAAAGAGAGGACACGTTCAAACTGGGTAACAGGAAGAGAATGTAAACAGAGGGTCTTTTTACGGGGTGTAGACGGCGAGCAGGCACGGCAAAGGTCCCGCTCCCCGCTCCCTCCCTCCCGGCTTGAGGCCTGAGCTGGCAAGAGGAGGTGGTAGTTAGCAGTGTGGCCAAGGACCCTTGGGAGGAGCTGCAAGGTCCTGCTCAGGCCCTGCCAGCCCCTGGAGGCCCCCCGGGGAGGGAGCCACGAGCCAGCCCCCCCACACCCCCCCCAGTCTCTCTCGGCCTCCTGGCCCCCTGATGGTGCCCCCACCAGCCAAACCCAGTGGGTGGGAAGCCAGATGGCAGGGAACACAAGTGTGGTCCACGCAGGGGGCTGCCGGGAAGTGACCCAGAGCCCATGGCAGTGCCCACACAGAGGGCCTGTCCCAGAGCGTGCGGCCATCCAAACAGATCAGAGAAACGAGGGTGGCCCTCAGACTCCTGCTTCTCCCAGGTCCTTAAACTGCCTGCTCTGTGGACGTCTGGAGAGAGAGAAGCCGTCGACTTTGTTTTGAACTGAGAACAATGTTGACAGTCATTAGCAAAGAGTTAGGATCCAGCTGGGCTCAAGTGGCCAGATCTGGGGACACTCAGCCAGATTGACCCGGAGAGGAAAGGCTAAGCTCCTTTGCAGAGCGACACGCTGGAGGCCCTGAGTTACCTGTGTGGCTATCACGTTCCAGATGGAAATGAGAGGCCTCAACAGCAGGCTGAGGTCCCTCCACCTGAGGGAGGGAGCCCCAATGGGGAGGGGAGCTCTTCTCTCTTCCCCATTGCATCTCGGCACCCCCAAAACACTCAGTAATTGTTGAGAAATGTATGATTCGAGCCCATGACCTCTGACCTCCAACTGAGTTTTCTTCCAGGGGCCAGGCAGTCCCCCCACCCCCCAGAAAGGCGATCTACGAGGTCTTTCTTCCCTTCTCCTGAGCCCCCTCCCACTGGGATCAGAGGACATTGCTGCTCATGGCATCCATGCGAGTTCCAAATCTTGGCCTCAGCTCTGCCCGGGGGGTTCCTGTAACCTCCGATGGCGTTCATTGAACATGTTCCCCTTCATTTCCTGCTTACCGACGCAGGCTTTTCTTTTTCTAACGTTCAGATTTCCTGCACGAATGTCCAGTGCCTTATCTCCATCTCCCACAACTGAATCAGGAGAGCTGGGCTTCTGGAGCCCGGTGCAGGCGCTGGCTGGGGCGTGGCTGCAAGCAGGGGCAGGCAGCCCGCGGCCGTACCTGTACACACGCATGCACGCCTACGCTCCTCACACCTCCCCGGGCAGTAGCGAGTGGTTACACGGGATGCTGGAGAGGGCTCCAGGTCTGGCTCCAGGAAGGGAGGTTTAAGCCCATCTTCCAGCAATGACACTTGGACAAGCCGCTGCACCTCTGCACCCCATTTCCTCCTCTGCAAGGCTAGCGTACAACCGGTGCCTACCTCTCAGGGGGGTACAGTTAACGTAAGGAGGGGCAGAGGAAGGCTTCGTTCATGGAAGCCCCGCTGGGCTTTCTTTCAAAAGCGCCCCAAACTCATCAGGTTCCAGTGTTAACGTGTACGTGATCCTGTATCTCCAAGACAGCCCTTCCACTTCTTCCGCTCGTGGGAGATGGCAGCATCTCCCATGCCGAGCCGGGGGTGTCCTTGACACCTTCCCCGCTCTCATCCCCAGCGCCTCCATTTCAAAACGTTCACCGGGCAGGTCAGCGTTCCTCTCCAATCACCTCTGGAAAGGTGGAGGGATTGCTCTGATGGAGATTGCTCTCCAATCTCCATCATCCTGTGCCTGGAATAATGAGTAGCACCTGCTAACTGGGCTTCCTGCTTCCGCTCTGCCCCCTCCCCACACCCGCCACGGTCCCATCCTCCCCAGCAGCCACCAGGGCCGCCGCACGTTCACACCAAGGGCCTCCCTGTCTCGGGGCCTTTGCACCTGCTGCTTCTCCTGCCCGGACGTCCTCCTCTCCCCGCCACCCTTATGCCCAGTTCACTGCCTCTCACCCCTCCCCAGGCTACACCTCCTGGGGAGCAGACGCTGTGCCCGTCCTCGCTACTATGTCCCTAGCACCCCATCCACGGTAGACGCTTGATAAATATTTGTGAAGTGCAGGACTCCGTTTCCCTTGCCTGGTGGAGAGTACATGCGTGTCATGGTCCCCAGTCTGCCGTCTAACCATCTGATCATCTTCCTACTCTTCCGGTCAGCCCAGGTGGGGCCTCGCTCACGTCTAAATGTTCTCTGCCTGGAAGAGACCGATGTTCCTGTCTGTTCATGAGGACCCCGTGCCCACCATGGCCTCTTTCAGGTGAGTCAAAGAGATTCCTCGATTTACCATTCGTAAGGGGGCGGGGCAGACAGCCTGGCGAACACCCGGGAGAGAGCCAAACTCATCCCTTGGACAACAGCTGAAGCAACAGGCAACGCTAAGCCCGAGGACAATCCCTCTCAAGGGCCAGTGAGGCCAGGGCTCAAATCCTAGATGCCTGCGGGGCAGAGGGAGTAGACTGGTCGGTAAGGCTGTGGTGGGGGCAGATGCAGGAAGAGAGGGACACATCGCTGGTGGTCCTATGTGAGCTATCCCGGACGAACCTGGGAACAAAGAGCACGAAACTCTGAAGTCGACTCCCAGGAAATCAGACAGCCCTGTGCCAGGTCGCCTTGGAGACAGGACATCACCAACCCCTGGCTGACACCTGGTGAAAGGCCGGGGCACTCTAAGGAGAGAATGTGGGGGGCGTTGATGCCTAGCAGAAGCAGGGGAAAGGGAGAGTCAGTCCTGAGGAAAGCAGTGTCACCAAGCCTGGCCTCTTGGTCCTGTGGTAGGTGTGGCCCATGATGGAGATGACCAAATGGCCAGCTCAGCTGGGGCCTCGGAGCTCAGGCCCTGTGAACTGCAGTTACGCACCCCCCAGGCCACTTTCTGACAATCCTGTAACTTATCAGAGCCAGCTCTGGGCCTAGTGCCATTGTTGGCTAGGGACCGTCCTGCTGGGAAGTTAACGAGTAGCCTCTGGTGCAATACTTCAGTGTCTGGAGAGGGAGACCCCCAGAGGACACCCCGCCCCAGGCCTGGGGCACTGAGGAAACAGGTTTCTGTAGCTGCAGAAATGGGGCCAAAGGCTGGACCGAGGGGCCCATCCAGGGGAGGCCTCACCTTCAGAGAGCTCTGCCGAGAAGCCTGCCAGTTTGCATAGGTCGGGAACTGAGGGTCCAGTGGGGTCGGCTTGTCCCTGCTCCACAGTGTCTGGGGCCTCAGCTGGAAGATTCAGAGGCTGGGATACCAGAATCAGCAAAGCGGCAAGCTGGTTCCTCTCCAAGAGGCTGCTTGCGTGTCCTCACGCCATCGTGGCTGGCCTCCCCCAGAGCGAGCAAGCCAGGAGTCCGAGGATGAAGCTGCAATGCCATGACCTGGTCTTAGAAGTCACACGCCGTCACTGCCTCCGTGGGTGGGAAGCAAGTCGCCAAGTCTGGCTACGTTCAAGAGGAATTAGACTCCGCCTTCTAAAAAGAAATGTCAACACATTCGGGCCGTATTAAAACCTTCCGTCCACCGGGAGAATCTTTTCAGAGCGTATTTTCTATCCACGGGGCAAAGCCTTGCCCTCTTAGCGCCCAGGGATGGCTGTCCTTAGCCCCTGATTCAACCCCATCTCTTGCCACTCCCCACCTCCCAGTCCAAAGTCTGATCTGCCCTCTGGAACGTGCCAGTGGCTTCCCCACTTCTGTGCCTCTGCTCAGGCTGCTCCCTCTGCCTGGTCCGTCCTCTCCTTCTTGTCCCTTGTTGGCATCTTCCTCATCCTTCAGCTCTAGAGTCACCTCCAACCTTCTCTGCCTCCCCCGATTCTGCATCCCCCTGTCCCTCACACACTACCCCTCGGCACTCATCACGCACTGAACCACAGTTGTTGGGAGCTTGGACAAGATGGGGGACCCGTGGTACCCCGCTCTGGGTCCCTACCGCCAGGGCGGAGCTCAGCACAGAGAAAATCCTCAAGATACCCTTAAAGGGTAAACGCGTGGATGAGTGAGCTCATCACAGGCCCCGGGTCTGACCCCTCGAAGTGGGCCAGCTGCCACGGAAAGCAGAGGGGCTTTTTCTGGGAAATCCCAGACAATCAGCAGGTTTTTTTCCCGTCATTTCTTGCTCAGCTCCTCCCCCGTGAGCCTACCCGACCATCGACCCAGGAAGAACTCCTCTACGCCCGCTTGCCCGCGCCCACCCGGAGGGGCACTAGAAAGATGCCAAGCAGTCCTGCGGTCTGGGCTGTCTTCAGCTGTCCCACGTGTCTGCACGCTCACTCTTCGACGTGGACCTTGCAACGGCCACGCAGGGCAGAGGAAACAAAACGAAGGAGACCACGTCGTAAATTCCGTAAATGTCTAACCGCTGTGCAGTGCTCCTGAAACTGCCCTAAAATAATAGTGAATGTCGACCCTGATTGAAAAAGAAAAATGGAAAAGAAAAGAAAAAAGAAAACAAAATGACAGCTCAGAAAGGCCGAGCAATTTGCCCGGGACCGCACAGAACCCACGTCTGTCTGAGGCCGGGCCGCTCGCCCAAGATAGAGATGAATCAGCCTCGACAGCAGCACTTCTGGAAAGTGAACTGCTCCCTGGTCTGCGTGTCCCCTGAAAAGTGAAAAGGAGCTCATGGGTCCGTGACGAAGTCAGCGATGCAGGAGGAAGAACGTGCCAACGGCGGGGCTCGGGTTTAACCTTGGTTGCTTTCATGGGTTCGCCGAAAAAAGATAACTGTGAATGTTTCTTGAACCAAGTTCAGTGCTGGGAGCTTTGTGCACGTTGTCTTAGATCCCCGCCATGACCCTGAGAAGCAGATTTTGTTTTTCCTATTTTACAAGGTAGGTAGGTCACTGAGGTCCAGAGAGGTTGATTAACTTAACCGAGGTCACACAGCTAATGAATGAGCTGCCCTCCTTCTCTACGATGCAACCTCTGATCATTAGCAACATTTCTCTGATGGAGGGTACAAAACCCCGACACTGCCTTCTGCCAGAAAGAGAGAGGGCACGAACAGACGGGCTGTGGTCTTGGATGCAGGCTAGACTCTCCCTGTCTGGTATGATATCATTTTTCCTCTTCTAATAAATTAATCACCTATGGCCAGGCCACGAGAGGCTAAATGATGACCAGCCCTTGGGAGGGGCCCAGGCGATAAGGAAGGAATGTACTGTGTATCCTCCTATCGTGAAAGCTTCAAGGAGGAGGTCGAAGGTCCAAGACTGGTGAGGGTTAGTGCTGGTGATGGTCGCCAGCCAAGGAAACATCCCAGTGGAGCCGCGAGGCGGGGAACCATAGCTCTCGGCGTAGGCCCAAGGAGCAGAGGTGCCTCCCTGAGGCCCTGGGAGTCAGGTGGCCGGAGCAGGGTCTCTGAGCGCAGTCTCAGAAAGGGCTGAGTCCCACCCCGGCTTCGCCTTCTGGAAGCTGTGGCTGACACACACCCCTTCTCCTTCTGCACCCGTCATTCGCCTGCCTCTGGCGACCTGGAGGTGTAACGGCCTCTTTCACACTTTCTTTCAGCGCCGAGATGCTCAACATCACCTCGCAAGTCCTTTCGCCTGCTCTCAACGGGACCCCTTCCCAGAGCAGCAGCTGCTTCGACTCCGACTTGTGGAACTGGCTCAACGCCATCCAGGCCCCCTTCCTCTGGGTCCTGTTCACGCTGGCGGCGCTGGAGAACGTCTTCGTCCTCAGCGTCTTCTGCCTGCACAAGAGCAGCTGCACGGTGGCGGAGATCTACCTGGGCAACCTGGCCGTGGCCGACCTGATCTTGGCCTGTGGGCTGCCCTTCTGGGCCGTCACCATCGCCAACAACTTCGACTGGCTCTTCGGGGAGGTCCTCTGCCGCGTGGTGAACACCGTGCTCTACATGAACCTGTACAGCAGCATCTGCTTCCTGATGCTGGTGAGCATCGACCGCTACCTGGCCCTGGTGAAAACCATGTCCATGGGCCGGATGCGCGGCGTGCGCTGGGCCAAACTCTACAGCCTGGTGATCTGGGGCTGCTCGCTGCTCCTGAGCACGCCCATGCTGGCCTTCCGGACCATGAGAGAGTACAGAGACGAGGGCCACAACGTCACCGCCTGCATCATCAGCTACCCATCCTACACCTGGGAGGTGTTCACCAACATGCTCCTGAACTTCGTGGGCTTCCTCCTGCCCCTGAGCATCATCAGCTTCTGCACGGTGCGCATCATGCAGGTGCTGCGTAACAACGAGATGCAGAAGTTCAAGGAGATCCAGACGGAGAAGAAGGCTACGGTGCTGGTGCTGGCCGTGCTGCTGCTGTTCATCATCTGCTGGCTGCCCTTCCAGATCAGCACCTTCCTGGACACGCTGCTGCGCCTCGGCATCCTCTCCAGCTGCTGGGACGAGTACGTCATCGACGTCTTCACGCAGATCTCCTCCTACGTGGCCTACAGCAACAGCTGCCTCAACCCGCTGGTGTACGTGATCGTAGGCAAGCGCTTCCGCAAGAAGTCGCGGGAGGTGTACTGGGGACTGTGCCGGAGAGGCGGCTGCAGGCCGCAGCCCAACCAGCTGGAGAGCTCCATGGGCACGCTGCGGACCTCCATGTCGGTGGAGCGCCAGATCCACAAACTGCCAAAGTGGGCGGGGAGCAGCCAGTGAGAGATGTCACCAGGATTACTGCTGACATGCGTGCCGGTTGGCAGACAGCTGCTCCTCGGGGTGTGCCCAACACGGAAGGGAAGGCGTCCGACGTGTAACCTTGGACGATGAGTCCAGGACACACTGGAGCGTGATTCCTGCCCTGATCGGGTTGCAGTGAGCACAGCCGTGAGGGTGGGGTGACGCCGCGCACAGGTGAGGGCCCCACAAACACGACAGCATTATTGTCCTTATTTGCTGCCACCCCGGGATAGTCCGCTCCTGCCAGGAGTGGAGGGAGCCTGGGGGAAGGAACAGGGTGACTGAGCTTGGTGTCCCACCCTGCCCCAGCATGACAGCTTGGGTGCAGTGGCTGAGTGCACACGCGATGCCTAGTTGCATTTTTGCCTTGGATTTCTTTAACGGACTCGGCTAGGACTTCGCAGGATGACTTGTCAGATTAACGAAGGTGAAGCTCTGGGGGCCGCTGGTAAGAACCCAAGGATGGGATTCTGCCGCTCCCCTCGCCGACGGACAGGCTGGTCTGTGCCGACGGGGAAGGCAATGCGCACGCATCCAGTGCTTGCCGTACACGCAGCGTTGAGCGCAGGGGGTGAGAGGAGGAGGAAAGAGGGTGTGAGGTCTCCGCCGTGAAGGAACTCGTGAGCTGGCGTGGAGATGACCAAGCACTTGCAACCACCAGAGGCTGGTCTACGAGGCGGTCGGGCAAAGCCTGTGTGCGCTCCGAGCAGCGGGGCGGGGAGCCTGGCGCCCCAACTCCACCGTAACCGCTTGCTCGTGCCTGCCCCCTGCCCCAGTTTCTTCCTTCTTCCTCTGCCACAGGAGGATGTGAGGATTAAAGGACGCAACCGGCACAGAAGTATTTTGAAAAACAAAAGGTGCTATGTAGACGTGAGGCATTAGGGTGGAACCTGGAGGCCCTGGAGGATCTGGATGGTAAAGAGCCCAGAACTCCTGACCATCCAGCGTCAGATTTTAAAGCAAATGCTCCAAAGCGGTTCCCTCCGCATCCCAGCCTTTTCTTCCCACCAGTCACACTCTCAGCCCCAATAAACATACTCTCTTGTAGCTGGAGAAAGAAAACGGGGTAAATCAGAAGGGGCCGCTTCCTGTTAAAGTGGAGCTGGGGCGCACAGGCTGCGAGTCGGGGAGAACGGGGACTGCGCGGTGACGTGTGAGACCCTCACTCGCCAGCGGTGTGCGGTGCTCCGAAGACCTACGGGCAGGGCCTTGCCACAGCCCTGCGCTCCTACCGGTAACTTAAGGGTCCGCCCATGTCTGAGGAGGAGACCGTCTGCGGGAGGGGAGCGTCCCGGGGGTCGTGTCCATGCGTAAAGACCCTCTATCGTGCGAAAGCCCCAGAGAGCTATTACGCTGTTAAGAGGGAGCGTTTCTCGAACAACGAGACATGGACGGAGGCGTCCACACGTGTCTTTTCTGAGCAGCATAATAAACGGATGAGGAGTTTTCACATGGCTCTTTCTTTTGTTACAACTCCTGAAACCCCGAGCTTCTTCGGGGACACAGCCATGCATGGGCTGTCAACGTCTTGGGGGTTTTCACTTACTTCTGCAGAACCTACTTTAGGGCTTCTGTCCTGTAGGCCAGTGGTGTCCACGCTTCTGTGATTGCATATCACTCTAAGTAAAAGAATTTTGACTATATGTACCTAATATGTATGCTTATTAACATGCACAACGTTAACATGTATTAACATGTATTAATGTACACTCTAAAATATACTGAAATTTAAGAAAATTCAATAGGGGTTGAAGATTTCCCCCATCCTACATTCCTGCAAGCTCCCATCAGGTGCCTGTGAGGCCCTGTGTGGCCCTAGAGCAATAAGGATGGCCGAGATGCCATCGCTCGTGCATGCAACGTGTCTCATTGAGTGCCTCCCATTCGACTTCCCCTTCAAATCAGGAGCATCCTCTACAATGTCCAGGTTAAACAGTTATCTAGCCACTGCTTGCATACTCCCAGGGATGGGGAACTTATTATCTATTCCATTTTGGGACCCCTTTGTCATTCGTGTATTCATTCATTCACTCATTCATTAAACAAAACTTGCATTCTGCGTCTACAGAAATGGCACCGCCCCATCTACAAATCCTTTGATTCATGCCAGAAACCTGGGGCTCATCCTGAAACGCACCCTCTCCTTCCTCCCTTCCGCCTCGGTGTTTCCTGGGGCTCGTTTCTTTTCCTATGTCTAACCATCATCTCTTACTGGCCTTCCCACCTCCAGTATCAGCCACCACCACCTCCCAATTCTGAATGTTCACTCTGAAACCAATGACATCTTTAAAGAATGCAAATACAATTCTCAAGAGGCTATAAACATTAAAAAACAAAAAATAGTGTTTCGGAATCAAGGCTTGGGGACCAGGCAGACCTGGATTCCAGTTCTGGTTTGGGCTCAGGCTCTTATTTTTTTCTGTGGTCTTGGGAATCACACTCATCCTTTCCAAGTCTACATTTATACCTGTAAACTGGGACTAATAATGGCATTTACCTCGAAAAAGTGTGAACAGGGTTAGTGTATGGAAGAGGGCTAGCACAGTGCTTGGTGCAGAGTTGCACTCGACACGTGTGAGCTGCCGTGAGGGCGATGTCGTCGATGGTGACGACGACGTGGATGTCGGTGGTGATGATGATGCCCGTGATGGAGATGCTGGTGCTGATGTGATGATGGCTGAGCCGATGACCGCGCCCTCTAACAGGAAACCCTTCAGCAGTGTTCAGCTCCGTAACATAGTCTGCAAGACCCTTCATGAGCCGGCCCCCGCCTTGTCTCTTTCCTTCTCCCTACTTCCTGGCTCATTCTCTACCCTCTAGCCGTACTGAGCACAAACGCCTGGACAGAGTCCAGCAGATATTCCAATCCTCTTCCAGTGCCCACACTTCCTGCTCAGACTGCACCTATTACCAATGGCCCTGAGCTCAGACAAAGTTGCCCACAAGCGCCCCAGGGAGCTCACTCATCTGAGAGGCTTTGTTCATAGATGTGAGCATGACTCAAGGAAGTTTTCAGTCCAGGGAGAAGCCACCTGGCCGGAAATTTGAGCAGAGATCTCAGCAGGTAGAAACAAGCTAGGAGAGCCTCCTTCCCACCTCCCCTCATCCCAGCCAGGCCCGTCGACTCCTTGGACCCTGCAATGGGGAGAGGCCCGGGTGGACCTCTGGTGGCCTAGGAACGAGGAATGGACCCAGCTCCTGCCCTGGCTGGAGCCGGTGAAGGCCTGGTGCAGAGGTGTGAACTGAATGCGGGTGACCCAGCGGGAACTAACCAGCGATGACAGCTACCGTCCATTTACGAAGCCACTTGAGCGCAGTCTCTATGGTTTGGAAGGTGAAGTCTCTACTTGTAACCCCGGTGATGCGCTCCCCTGTCTCCCTGTTACTCAGTCCCTGATCCTCACGCAGATCCTCGCAGATCCTCACGCAGCTCTGGCCTGTCGCCAGGCCCCCGGAGGATGTAGGGGGTCAGGGATGAGCAAGTGGGTCGTGGTTGAGCAATGGCAATGACTGACAGTTCAGTGGTGAGTTTGTGGTTTCTTGGCTGAGGTCAAGGGGCCCGTCAGTATGTCTCGCTCTCCCGAGTGCTTTTAGACTCGAGCCTCACAGCCACCGGGTGGCCAGGAGCTCCCATCGTCACCGGTTTGTGGGTGAAACGGAGGCCCCAGTGCGGGGTGGGGAGTAGCGAAGGCCGCACGGCTCCTCTCCTCGGAAGGGCGTTCTGGAAGCCTGCCTCTTCTGGGTGAGTCCGAGCCTCGACAGAGGGATGCGAACCCTGTGACGGAGGAAGCCCCGGAGGTGCCTTCCTGCCTGAGCCTGGGCTGTTTCTGCTCCAGCGAGCGCACTTTGCACTTCCCAGGCGCCCCCAGTGCCTGCTTCCTGCAGAACCGCCTCTGCGTGACACTTTACTCTGACGTTTGTGTAAATAACCACTTCATTGAGATAAAATTCACATGCCGCGCAGTCCATCCATTCCGGGGGCTTTTAGCGTATTCACAGAGCTGTGCGGCCATCACTGCTGCATACTTCCAGAACACATGCATCACCCCAGAACGAAATCCCACAGCCCTCAGCGGTCACTGCTCGTTCCTCCCCACGCCCCGGTCTCTGGTAGCCACTAACCTTTCTGCCTCTACATATGCCTATTCTGGGCGTTTCATTACAGATGGCATCGGACAATGTGTGTCTTTCGGGGTCTGGCTTCTCACACCTACCTTATACTGAGATATAATATTTAACTGTTGGGGGAGGACTTTGGGGACCAGGCCTTGAGTCCCTGCCATGTCACTTACCACGTGATCTCGGTCAACCACTTTACTCACCCCGCCCCCCATCCCTCGCCTCTGGCCTCGGTTTCCTCATCTGTAAAATAGGCAGATGATACAGACAGTGCGCCTCGCTCACCCAGAGCTAACGACTCTGGAGAGGGGGCTTCGTGAACTCTGAAGGGCAGGGGCAGCCCTGGGCTGGGAGCCAGGTTCCTGTTTTACCTCCCAGCTCTGCTGCTTCCTGGCGGCGGGAACTTGGATCAGGTCAATTAACTTCTCCCAGTAGCTGGTGTTTTGCCTATAAAATGAGGATCCAGGTGTCGTGAAAATTAGGTGGGCTAAAGGTGTTCCCCTGGGTTGGATAGTGTTCCCCCACCACCACCGCCCACTTGGTACCTCAGAAGGTGGTTCCTTATTTATGAATAGGGTCTTTGCAGAAGTAAAGTTAAGATGAGGTCCTACTGGATGACGTGGGCGCTAAGTCCAATGACTGGGGTCCTTTTAAGAAGAGGAGAGGACACACAGAGACACAGGACGCAGAGACTGGGCGATGCCCGGAGCCACCAGAAGCCAGGACAGAGGCATGGAGGAGATTCCCTCTCGGAGCCTTTGGGGGAGCCGGCCCTGCCCACACCTCTGGGCTCCCGAACTATGAGAGGATAAACGTCTGCTGTCTTAAGCCACCCTGTCCGCAGTGCTTTGATATGGCGGCCCCGGGGGATGGAGCCAGGTGTTTTCAGTTTTCAGCGCTCATGCGACTTCGAGATCACCCCTCACCGTCCAGACACAGCGCTTCCTTTCCCCCAACAAGGGGAAGAGGGACTCGGGTGCTTTTTCAGGTCCCCTGAGAACTAGAGATACTAGTTGGTGATAGAAGACTTCCTAAGAAAGGATAGAATGCACCAACTTACAGAATTGTAGAGATTTTTTCAAAAGGAGGGTGCTGAGGCCTTTCTGAAGCCCATGTAGCATGCTAGGGGCCGCGTCAGCCCCCCGAGTGTGCGCCAAGGCCCGGTGGTTCTGGGTTAAACAGCCCGTCTCTGCTGACTCGGGACCGGGGCTGCCCAGTTTCTCTCCTCCTCCCTCAAGCTCAAAGGCTGGGCTGAATCAGGGAGTGTCAGACGAGGTTAAGCAGTGGCCATAGGGCCCAGCTCCTGGCTGCCAGACAGCCTGGGCAGCAGCCCACCTATGTGGGAGGTTGTTTATAGAGAGCTCAAGACGGGGCTCCAAGGCTCCTCCAGACGCCTTCCTCCACGCTGAGTCACCCGCACGGCCCACTCAGCGGGCCAGCAGTGTCCGCCTGATTCCCCCTCAGATCCTGGCCAAGACGGGCGACAGCTATGTAGCCACTCCTTGTGCTGACACCGCCACTGTCACTGGCTGCTGCCCAAGGGCCAGCTTCATCATCGCGTCGCCTCGACTCCGAGAGGAGGCCCACTTTACAGATTAGGAAACCGAGGCTCCACGAGATGGTATAGCAAATGGCCCAAGTTCATGGTTATGGAGCTGGAATTACATCCTGGTGAGGTGGCTCCGTGGCCCAGACCAGACCACCGTGATTTCCAGACAAGACCATAAGGACCTGGGCCTAACTTTGGAATCAGTTATTTTTTAAACATTACCTGTCCACCTGGCGGAAGATAAAGCAATGAGACATCCTGACCATGGCATGACCTTTTAGGGTCATGTGACCCCTCATCCTCATGCTCTATCATGGAACAGAACGGCTTATTCTGAGAACTGGGGCTCTCCCATCAGCACCCCAACCCCATTAGTTGCCCAATTTCTTTCTCTTCAAATCAATCCTGACATCATTTTCTTCTAGATCTCACCTTACAATTTTTAAGCTATTTTGGTGTTATTATTTACTTCGTAGAGTTTCTTAAAGTTTCTCAAAAAAAATTTTTTTAAAAAAAGAAAGAAAAGAAACAAGGGCTCCCAAATGGTGAGACGCAACCACTGCATCTGCCTCGCGGGCTGCACCTTGTACAGACACACATTAAAGGCTCTGAGAAGTCCTGCAGGAAAGAGGCCTGCTCCGCTGTGCTTTGTGTAACTCGGAGTCTCCCGGACTTGGTTGGCACAGACCTGTTTTTCACTGGCTGCATCTCCATGACCTCCTTGCCCAGCACCTCCTTCTCTGCCCGAAGTTGACATGTTGAAGTTCCTCAGTCTTCAGTACTAAACTCTCTTCTCGTGTCTCTATGTGGTCCCTCTGACGAATCCCAGCCAGGAGCATAACTCTTACCATCTGTGATGGTTAGTCACATGTGTCAATTTGGCTGGGCTCCAGTTCCCAGTTATTTAATCAAACAGAAATCTAGGTGTTGCTGTGAAGGTCTTTTGTAGATGTGGTGAGCATCTACGATCACCTG